ACACACGGTCCGGATGATCAGTCCGGACGGGGGATGTTTTACTAGAATTATCTTCCCTTCTGTGTAGGGGCTTGTGGGTTCACTCAAAAGTGAAACTTTCTTAAGTTCCTTGCATTCCACGTTCTCGGGATCTGTCTTCCCTCAGGTGTCTCTAAAGAGAATGACCCGTTGTGGTGCGCCTCTATCACCTTGTACGGCCCTTCCCTTGTCTGGCTTAGTTTTCTGCGGTGTTGCGCATGGTTGGCCTCGTTTTTCCGTAGGACATAGTCCCCAACACGAAAGGCCTTGTCTTTGACTCACTGATTATAATACCCCTCTGCTCTTTATTTGTATGCGGCCTGGCGTATGCTTGAGCGTTCTCGTCGTTCCTCCAAAATGTCTAAGTTCTCCCTCAGGTTTTTGTCGTTTGTTTGCTCCTGACAGTACTCTGTTCGTATCGATCCTATCATCATCTCTATTGTCAGCATCGCTTCAGCTCCGTAGGCCAGGCTGAACGGTGTTTCGTTCATGCTGGTACTCGGTGTGGTTCGATACGACCAGAGGACTTTCGACAAAGTTCATCTACCCAGTTGTCCTTTGCCTTGCCAAGTCGTTTTTTGATTCCATGCACCGGTATCCTATTAGACACCTCTTTCTGTCCATTGGATTGGGGGTATGCCACCGACGTGAATCTTTGCTCTATTCCTCTCTCTGCACACCAGTTCCTGAAGGGGTTCTCGGCGAATTGCAACCCGTTATCACTTATCAAGACCTTAGGTGTTCCAAACCTTGTTATGATGTTTTTCCACATGAAATTGATCATTTGTTTTCCAGTAACACATGCCAATGGTTTGGCTTCTATCCATTTCGTGAAGTAATCGACTGCCACGACCAAGAACTTCACTTTCCCTGGTGCTTCTGAGAAAGGACCGATGATGTCGATCCCCCATTGTTAAAAGGGCCATGAGCTAACTATGCTTGTCAGCTTGGTTGGGGGTACGCCTTGTACTGGTGAAAAGGTTTGGCACTCCACGCATGCTCAGGTCAATTTGGTGGCATCCTGGTGTATGTTCGGCCAGTAGAGTCCCATGCGTAGTATCTTGCTTGTAAGTGCCCTTGCCCCTTGTGGGCTCCAGCTGATCCCGCGTGGGCTTTTTGGAGGGCTTTCTTCCCTGACTCGTTGTCTATGCGTTTGAGCCACAGAGCTGTGTGGCCTTTTCTATATAATGCTCCTCCCAGGATTGCGTACTGAGGAGCCCGTATCCTTGTTTTTTGTGCCTTTCGTGGTCGTCAGAGAGTATGTTGTGCTTTAAATAGTCTATGATGGGTGTCATCCAGCTGGGTCGTGTCGTGGATAGAGAGTCAACTTGGCATTCGTCGATGCTCCTTTCTTTCAGCACTTCTACTAGGACCTCCTTAGAGAGATGACCAAAACATGTTGATGCAAGTTTGCTTAGGGCATCTGCCCATCTATTGCTTCCCCACGGAATCTGCTTTATGGCGAAACTCTTAAGTAAACTCGTGATTCGTTGGACTACTTTGACGTACTTCTCCATTCGTTTATCCTTCGCTTCAAATTCTCCAGTGACTTGGTTGGCTGCCAGGCGTGATTCAGTTAGGGCTACTATCCTTTCCGCCCCCATTTTTACTACCAACCTTAGGCCGGCTAACAGGGCTTCGTATTTGGCTTCATTGTTGGAGGTGTAGAAGTCGAAGCGTAGGGCATACATGATTTCTTCGCCCGTGGGGCTGGTTAGGATCAAACCCGCTCTTGAGCCATCCTTGCTAGAAGCTCCATCTGTGTAGAGGGTCCATTGCTGATCGGTCTCCTCTTCTGAGTTCCTTTGCAGGGTGGTATCTGTTATTTCCTACTGGAGTTCCCCCGGGATTTCCAACAGGAAGTCTACAGTGCTTGTCCTTTAATGCTCACCATGGGGTGATAGCTGATGTCGTGCTCTCCCAGTTCTATAGCCCATTTTGCGAGGGGTGATAGCTGGTCAGCACCTCTATCTGGTGGGCCTGGAAATACCGCCGAATCCGTCGTTCCGTGTAAATTAAGGCGAGCACCAGCTTCTTGATAATCGGGTAGTTAATCTTTGGCCCTTGCAGAGCTCGGCTCACGAAGTAGACCGGAAGTTGTCTTCCTTGCATTTCGACTACTAACACTGACAAAATAACGTCCTTTGATGCGGATAAGTAGACATGCAGTGTCTCGCCTGGTACCGGTCTGGCTAGCGTAGGGAGCGTGATCAATGCCTTTTTTATCATCTGCAGCGCGGATTCAGCCTCTGTCGTCCATCGAAAGTTGTTCTTCTCGATGCATCCCTTTAGTGTGTGAAATAGAGGCATGGCTTTCTCGGCTGACTTAGAGATAAAACGATTGAGCACTGTTAGTTTACCATTCAACCCATGGGCATCCTTTAGTGTGCTTGGCAAGGGTGTGTCTTTAAGCTCATCAATTTTGATCGGGCTCGGCTGGATTCCTTCCCTGATCACATAGTATCCTAGGAATTGCCCCTCTTTTACCCCGAAGTTACACTTTGCAGGGTTCAGTTTCATCTTAGCTTTTTCCAAAGTTCGCAATGTTTCCTCCACGTCGTGCAACAGTCTCTGTTCGTCCGGGCTTTTGTTGACCATGTCATCAACATAAACTTCGATATTCCTTCCAATTTGATTGGCAAATAGGGAATCGACCAGCCGCTGGTAGGTTGCGCCAACATTCTTTAATCCAAATGGCATCTTTGTATAGCAGAAGGTGCCATGGTCTGTGTAGAAGGCTGTCTTTTCTTCATCGTCCTTGCTCATTAGGATTTTGTGATATCCCTTGTACACATCCAAGAAACATTTCCACTGGAACCCTTGTAGAGACTCCGCCTTTTGGTCTATTTCTGGCGATGGGTAGCAGTCTTTGGGGCATGCCGTGTTGAGGTCTGAGTAGTCGATACACATGCACCAACTACCATCATGTTTCTTTACCATTACCGGGTTGGCGATCCATGTTGGAAAAATCACTTCTCTGAGGATCCCAGCGCTGGTTGGCTTGGCTACTTCCACATTAATTGCCTTGTTTCGATCTCCTCCCTAGACTCGCTTCTTTTGTTTTAGTTCTTTGGCCCCTGGCTTTATCATTAGCTTGTGTTCTATAATCCCCCAGCCGACCCCTACCATGTCTGTGGGTGTCCAGGCGAACACATGTTTGTATTTTTGTAGCAGTCAGATCAGCGATTGCCTCACTGCCGTGGGGAGGGTGGTTCCTACGTTTACTTGTTGGCTTGGGTAATCCCAGTTGATTACCTCCCCTCCGCTTAATGAATCCTGCTTCGGCCTCTTGGCCTCGGTTGAAATGTCCTTTGGTTGCATGATCTATCGCATCTGAGCTCCCTTGGGGGAGTGGCTAGGATTGTCCCTGGGCCTTGGCTCGTGCTAAACTTTACTATTCCATGAATCGTTGATAAGATTGCTCCAAATTTCCACAGGGCAGCTCATCCCAGTATGACATTGTGCTTGGACGGGTGTCGTATGACCACGAAATCCACAAGGGCGATATGTCGCTTGGTCTTGTCTTGACTAGTGAGTGTGAATGGTAAGTGAATCGTACCTAGAGACCATAGGTTGTGCCCTGTGAATCCTATGAGCTGGACTGCGGCTAGTATCAATCCCTCCTTCCATGCATCCGGCAGCAGCCATAAGTAATGCTCGTAGATGATGTCTGCAGAACTCCTCGTGTCGACATATACCCGGTGGATCATGGTATCTCGAATGGACCCCTGGATGACGAGGGGGTTCTCCCCTTTCCATCCGGATGGGCTTGGGTCGACCCTGGAGAAAGTTAGCCCTTGCATTGTTTCCGTGATGCTTTGCACGCTGGTTGTGCACTCCGTTCTCCCCTGCTTGTGGCGGATCATGAGGATCTATTGTCGGTAGTCTGTCTCTCCTATGTTGTCTTTAGGGTTTTCTGCGTCAAATTTAGCTTGCAAACTTTTGGCGATTTCTATCATGTTTCCCTTCAGCTGCTTTTCTTCCATTTCTCGTTTTAAAACCAAGCAATTGACTGTGTCATGCGTCCTACTCTTGTGGTATTCACAATATCATGTCTTAGTATCCTTTGCTGCTGGTTTTTCGGCGACAATATAAACTTCCGCTCATCTTCCTCGTCTATCGTCCCTTATGAAAGGTCTGAACCGTCCATGTGGTCGTCTGTCTTGTCCTGAGAACCTACCCCCTGGGGGGTCATCGTGAGGGGTTGATTGGGGATGACGCTTTCCGTCCGAGGAGGCCATGGCGTTGAGGTATGCTTGCTTTGACACTTCACCTTCTTCTTGGCGTAGGAAACGCTCCACTTGCTGTTTTAGTTCTTCCCTTGTCTGAGGCTGCTTGCCCATAAGTTTCTGGGACAGCAAACTTGGGAGTAATCCCCAGGTAAATACCCCTGCAATCAATCCTCCGTCGTGCCCCAAGACGTCTAGTGTTGCCTTGGTGAATCTAGTGAAGTAGTCCTTGAATGTCTCCCCCTCCCTTTGCTTGCACCCGATGATGGAGTGACAATCGCCTTTGTACTTTCGGAGTTGCATGAAGTTGGTTAGAAAGAGGTATTTCAGCTGGCTAAAGTTGTAGATGCTACCAGGGCGTAACGTTTTGAACCATGTCCCTACGTTGCCGTCTAGAGTGGTAGGGAAATATATGCACCAGAAGCGTTCGTCTAGCTTGAGGGACGTCACCGTCCATTTGTATGTGTCGATGTGGCTGTCCGGGTCTGTGGTGTCGTTGTATGTTTTGAGGTGAGGTAGTTTAGCGGTGTTGGGGATCTCATATCCGAGTAACTCTTTCACGAACGGCGATGTGACACTGTGTGAAAGGCAGTCTTGGTTCGGTATCTGTTGGGCAAGATGGTATCCTGGTTGTTGCATTGCCAGGAATGGTTGTACCAGCATGTTATTATAGGCTGTAAGGTCTGGTGATGTTGGGCCATAGAAGTTCTGCAGCTGGAATACGGTGGGAAACGTGTGGGCCAAGGGGATTTTCTAGTAGGGCATGAATGGGGGAGCCGGCATGGCTTCTGTCACTAGCGGTGGGTGGTTTTGCCCTTGGAAAGCGACGCTTGGGCCATTAGCTGTGTTATTCGTCGGCGTTGTTAGCGGGGGCATCCCGTTTAACGGTGGTGTTATGAGTGTCGTTTGTCGTTGCTCGTTTGGGGTGTGTATGGGTGGTGGTAAGAAGTTGTAACCGGCGTTGTTTAGTCCACCGATGCTGGGAAAAAATAGCAGTATAGAAGGTGAAATGGGCGGATTAGGTCTGTCGTCGTTGGGGAACAACGGTGGGGTGACGCTATTCAGTGTGGGTATTGGTATGTGGATTGTGACGGAAGGTGCAGCTGTTGTAAGAGAAGGTGACGGGCCACCGGATGGTGGTACCTCAGAAACCAAGCTGATCTTTTGAGGTGGTGGTGTTATTAGGGTGTTGACCGTCTCTAGTGAGACCATTGGGCGTATCGGGCTATGTGGTGTTTTCGATGGCTCGCCAACGGCCTCGTCCGCCATTTGTGGTTGTGTTAAAGAGGAAAAAATAAGAATGGGTTTGCGTATCTGTTGTCACACAAACAGACGACGCCAAATGATGCGACCTGGCTTCCGACCACCTAGAGGATGAAGGCAGTGATCGTCTAAGAGAAACCCGAGAAGTCACAAAGAGAGAAAACCGCCAGCCATTCTCCGAGAGGAGGTCCCGGGAAAACGCTCCGACGGTCAGGTTAGTAATGTATTGGAGAGTAAGGGCTGAGAATCAGGAGAGATGGCTTACTTCTCAAGGCGGAATGATGGTCCTTTTATATCGAGGATCCTCCTCGGTCCGTATGATGAATAAGGACTGCGATCCCGACAATATCTGTTGTCCTTATTGGTGAGTCGTGTTCCTCGTTGTGTCAGCACAATGATTGGTCCAGGCGATAATGCTCTGGATGTGCTCCTTGTCGCCTGGAGCCGTTATCCTTGGACTGTAGTGGAGGGTAGCCTTTGGCAGGGAATGACCTTCCACGCGGTCGTCCTGCTAGGGCACCCAACAGCTAGGGGTTCCGCTGGGGCGCCCAGTAGCTGGGATGGCCAAGCTGGGCCTGGCCGAACTCCGCTAGGGATTCTCAGCTGGATGTTCCTTGTTGGGGATTCTCTTGTTCTCGGCCCACTCTAAGGGGCGTGTCATCACCTGGTGATCTCCGTCACCGACTCTGATCCCTGCCTTAGATCCAAAAACTCTTGGGCCAACCTCTCGCGCTATACCCGCGGCACGTATCGAGTATGAAACATCACATGAGTGTTTCATCCAATATACGCAAACCAAGGTTCTGATACCAACTTGTAACCTCCAAAAATTTCACGAAAAATTGAAACTTTTTGAACAATCCAAATCATCACTTGTTTACAAAAATAGTTTTTCCAAAACATGTCTATTATCAGAGTTTTCCCAAAATCATAAACAAAACATGATGAGGTGCACGATAAAGCCTTCGTCTTCTCGCGATCATCTAAGGTACTTGAAACATAACCCAAAACTGTAAGCCCAAAGCTTAGTGAGTTTCCCCCAAAGTACCAACCCAATACAAAACAACATAATAACAATAAACAACATGCATACAGAGCCTTCAGTCTGACCGGAACGCCCCACTGGCCTACTGTCTATCTGGTAAGCTCAAAGAACCTTCAGCATGACCGGTACGCCACACCGGGCCTTCAGCCCATCTGGACCGTTCTCCGGGCTTTCGGCCTGACTGGTACGCCGTACTAGCCTTCACTCTATCTAGGACGCCTTGGGTCTGTTGGCCTTTAGCACAAAGCAGGACCGCCTCAACCCAACCACACATACACCGTGTTGACACACACATATATAACAGATAATCACACAACTAATCAGCCAATAACAAGCAAACATATCTTACGAATCATTAAGCATAACATCATCCTATCTACCAGGATACATATCTAACATATCACTATAATACTCAATCATATGATAATCAGGATAACAATCCAAAGGGTCAGCCTTGGTGCCTTCGACCCATAAGTACAGTAACAAAGACTCACCTCACACTACTGAATCACACTGAAAGCCTCCGACTGCTAGCTCACTAAAATCCCCGTGCTATCACAACATAAAAGTAATTTAATCAATACTTGGATTACATTCTAAGCTAATAGTCCAACATTAGGTTAAATGGCCACTTTAGCCTTTTCCTTAATTGGCCAAAGACCCAAACCCAAATCTTGGTCGAAAAGGCCCAACCACTAAATAATCATCCAAGGCCCATAATTAGCCCAATTTTCCAAATTGGTCCCACCTCTTATTTGGGCCTTACTCCAAGGTCCAACACTTCACTTATCCCAAAACACCCATAATCAGATGGACCAATAAGGGCCCAAGCATCCAAGCCCAAAAGGTGGCCCAAAGCTTGAAGCCCAAACTCGAAAACCCAACAGGCTGTGTACGTGGGGCGTACCCAGCTGTATGCTCAGCATACTCCACCTTGACCAAAACATGATGCCGACGACTTACGCCCATCGTACACCCTGGTACGCCCAACGTACGTGGTGGCCATGCACAACTTCGAAAAGGCTTATTCTATATAGACCAAACGTCCACAAACCAGATCCATGTCCAAGAAGGTGCTCTTAACCATAAAGTTTCCAACTTTATGGTTATGTATGCATCATTAAGACTCAAAAGCATCCTCCTAGTTGGTCTTAACCACTAAGGACCTCTACACTTTGTATGCAATCACTAAATGAGTCAAGAAAGCATTTTTACGACTTAACACAACTCAAATCTTCTGAAAATATAGCTCCATTGGTCTTAGAGTAGCATTTACTCATCAAGTCCAAGAAAAGGGGACAAACTCATAAAACTCCATATTGCTAGATCTCTACGATATACAAGTAAGGTTCAAGACTTTATACCTTATGGAGCTCCCCACAGGGATGAAGTTCTCAGATCTACAAGCTTAAATCCCACACCAAATCTTCTCAAAATATCCCTTCTTCTTACTTCAACATTAAGAACATAAACACACTTTAGCTCAACACACATAAGAGCTAGGGCTAGCCAAATCGACTCAAAGAGGATGGAGGCTGAAAGGGTGAAGAAAATGAGGCGATAAGGGGGATTATATAGGGCTCAACCCTAAAAATTAGGGTTTTCGAAGTCTGATGAGTACGCCCCGCATACTAGGGTGCGCCCTAGTACGCTAAGCATACACTCGTATGCATGGCATACTGTATCCTTTCAGAATTACGGTTTTGCCACTAGGGCTTCTCATGGCTACTTTCTTCTATCACAGGGACCAAATTGACATAAATTAAAACCGTAAGGATGGGTGTGGATGTACCAGAATATCGGGGTGTTATAGGGGTAAAATGGACTTTTACCATGAAGGTTGGTCTTTGGTCTAGAATTCTTGATTGGGTCGAGAATCAATTATTGATGGAATGTTATTTGATGATATCAGTGGAAGGTCTCCGGTAACAGCAGTTTGAGTGTTCAGTTATCTTGGTTCGAGGTGAGTCTCCTCACTGTAGCTACGGGTCGAAGGCACAAATGTCGGACCATTGGCTTATGTGCTATTGAAAGAGCCCTTGACATTGAATGAAAGACCCTGAGGTGGCTCCGGGAAAATCTGTATGCAAGACCAGGGTTCAGACCCTGGCAGTTAAGTAGATTGTATGCTTGTTGTCTTTGTGATGCTTACATGGAAGACCAGGAGGTGGCTCTTGGCGCTTCTCTGTAATACCCAGGGTACTGGCCCCCGGCTTAGCAAGGAAAAACCATGATACGGCTCGTGGCACAATGGAAAGACCATGGTTGGCACATAACACTCTCTATTGTATGAATGATATGCATGATATGTATGGTATGTGGTATCTTGGGGAACTCGATAAGATTTGTGCTTACAGTTTTTTGTTTATGGTTTCAGGTACTTCAGGTTCAAAAGAGAATATCTCGGCTTGATCACAGTGCATACACTAATGTTTTTCCGCAACTTAGAGATTTTGGGACTGTACTCTGATAACTATTTATTTATGAAATGCTTTAGATGTTTGAGAAAAAAGGAATTGGTGTTTTGATTATGTTAAAAATGAAAATTTTACCTTGTGGATTTTGGGGCATTACATCAAGCATATCCAAGGCCTTCAGGGTATTCAATCTTTCAAGGAAAACTGTTGAGGAAACAACTCATGTCACCTTTGATGAAGACTCATTCATTCATGATCGATTTGATCACCCCTCATCAATTCTGAATGAACTTACTTACAGTCCTTCATACCCTGTTCCTAGTTTCTTGCCAAGTGACGTTGAGCCTATTGTACCAAATGTTGATCAATTGATCAGTTCACAACCTATCTCTGAAGATCAGATTGTTATCCTTGAAGAAGCTTATCTATCAAATCAGGAAGACTTTTCCCAAAGTAATACAAATGAAAGTTCTTATCCAAAAATGCTCTGAGATCCTTCTGAATCTCAAATCATTGCAGATGTAAATTCTAGGATTCTTACACATAGCAGCGTCAGCAGAAACTTCTGCATGTTTGTTAATTGCGTCTCACTGATTGAACCAAAGAATGTCGTTGATGCATTGAAAGAATCTGAATGGATCAAGGCCATACAGGATGATCTGAATGAATTTGAATGTCCTCGTGTGTGGACTCTTGTTCCCAAACCTCAAGGAAAGACTATCATTGGTGCTCGTTGGGTTTTCAAGAACAAAATGGATGAATATGGGATTTTCATATAAAACAAAGCTAGGCTTGTGGCTCAAGGTTTTTGTCAGCTTGAAGGGTTGGACTATGATGAAACTTTTTCTCATGTTGCTAGACTTGAAGCAATTCAGCTGTTTCTTGTTTTTGCTTCTTTCAAGAACTTCAAAGTTTATCAGATGGCCGTCAACACTGCCTTTCTACATGGTGATCTTCAAGAAGAAGTTTTTCTAAAGCAACCTCTAGGGTTCGAAAGTGAAGAGTTTCCAAATCATGTGTATCGTCATGATAAATTTGTCTATGGTTTAAAGCAGACGCCTAGGGCATGGTATGATACCTTGGCAAGCTATTTTCTTTCAAGTGGATACAAACAAGGGAAGATCAACAACACTTCGTTCATAAAGAATTCAAAATCTCATTTCATTCTTGCTCAAGTATATGTGGATGATATCATCTTTGGTTCCACTGATGAGAAGCTAAGTTCAAAATTCGTAGAGGTCATGTCCAAAAAGTTCGAGATATACATGATGGGTGAACTAACTTTCTTTTTGGGTTTGCAGATCAAACAACTAACTGATGGTATTTTTGTTTGCCAAGCTAAATATATTATAGATATATTGAAGAAGTATGGATTCTCTGATTGCAAGTCAGTTAAGACTCCAATGTCCTCATCAACATCTACTGACACTGATCCTAATGGCGTTGATGTGAACGGAACCCTATTTAGAGGAATGATAGGATATCTATTTTATATTACTACTAGTCGCCCTGACATTATGTTTGCTACAATATTGTGTCCTCGT